TAGAAGTGAAGTAGATTTGACATATCAAATACCCCAGTGAGATGAGAAAGGAGTTCTATAACCCAAATAGAGGAGTGAGAATATTTCAAAATGCTCCTATTGAATGAACTGACGAATCAGAAATTCAAGATCAGATCAAGTCGATTAGCAGTTGAAGTAACTCTATCAAGCGTTGTTTGCTTTATTTCTTTTCTTTTTAATTTATTCAAATGAGTTCACTTTAACAGTTTGACATACTTCTTGCTGATTTGGCAAGTGTTGAATTTTGTCTTTTGTATATTAAGTGTTGTCAACATGTTATACAAACAGTAAGACTTTTCAGCCTTTGAAAGTGAGTCTTTCAACCAAGTAGTATACACTATCTTGAGCCTGTCCAAACTAGCTATTTTTACTAAGGTAACTGGGAGGACTGCATTTCTTCATGTCTCTTGGATTTATACCTGGATAAACTGAAGGAAGTAACTTATCAATACAAAATAAGTGGGAAAAACAGTAATGTTGCATTCAAAATAAACACTTTAAACTAGGTTGAGTAAAGTATCACATGCCTAAAACAGGCATCTTCCTAGTGTGATCCAAGACAAAAACACAACAATAATAAAAACTTCTGGAAATAATTGTTACTGAGTCATCTAGGGTCAGGTAGCACTCATGACATTGTTACAATAGTCACAGCAAGATTCGGTGTGCCTGTTGCTACTTCCTATCTTAATATAATAGATCCTCTTTTTCGAAAAGCCTGTCACAGTCTACCTTGCAATGTGCTCGCTAAAGAGGAAGAAATAAAAGGATAAACCATGCAAACGAATAGATGCTTCCTATCTTTCTTATGTGGCATATCTCAACATGTGACTGCTGAAGGAAGATGAGCAGGGCAGCACAGATGAGGAGTGGTAGGATGTACAATCGGTTGACTTTATAGTTTTGTTCGCAGGGGTTACCACATCACTCTTGAAGAGTTAGATTTGAAGAACATTCAAAGAGCTATCTTTCCTTTGTCCTACCCTGTAGCCTGTATGATGACTTCTCAATTAGGCTAAGTTCCTGGAAGCTAAAAGTCACTTACACAGATGATTTCTGTCAAGGGCATGCTTAATCAGCTGCACTCAGGTAGGAGGTAACAGCAGCCTTCTCTTGGGCTTTGTAGTGAATCTTCGTGTAGACAAGCAACATGTTCCACTGGCAGCTTAAAAGTGCCTGTTCTGTTTGAAGCAAACTTCATGGACTCTAAGCTGTGTTCCAAGTTACTTTGATAAATGCATAGCTTAAATATTCTCAGCTAGAGAAAAGTTTTTAAAACTGGTGGACCACCTTCCCCAAGCTAGTGAAAGCTTCATGTCATTCGCCCTTTTATTTCTTTTTTTTTCCCCCTCACATCCAAGTCTAAAGGAATAAAGCCCATTATACTTCAAGAGCTGTGTTTTGATTCCTTTTATGTTGTCGTTCTTAAATATGGATGTTATATGACAGTATTATTGTAAATGTGGAGTGGTTCTCTTTCCTTTAAAGCTAAGATCTATTTTTCATTTTAATGCTTCTGCTAGCTTCACATTGCTTGCTCTGCAAGATTTCTGTGAAGATGTAGTGCATCTGCTTTTGCAAACTCTGTCATCTTCTTCTCAAACGTAGAGTTGACTTTAACTTTGATATAAGAAAGGCTCAGAGTAAAAAAAAAAAAAAAAAAAGTCCTTGTAGTTTTTTTTAGCATCTTTCTAATTATAGCCTATGTTTTAGTATCATTGCATTCTGTTTGACTCTTGAATTTTACAACATGTAGATATTTCTATTTGGCTAACTTTTAACAATGCTTGCTCTTAAGATGTTAGTGTGTCTTTATAAAGCTGTCTGAGTACTATAGGCAGTGCAATCTTATTCATTCCACTGTGTTCTGCTTTGGTTAGGAAATATCATGGGATCATTACTTGATAACTTTGCATATATAGCAGCTTTTTGATAGCCTCTCCTGTGGACTTTTCAAGTTGCTAATCCATTAGAAAACATTCAGTTCAGGTTTTAATTATTTTGATTTCATTGCTTCCTTTCACATTTCTTTAATGCTAACAATTTTTGAATGCATTAATTGATGTATCACTACAGTTAATGTAGGAGTGAATAATTCTGTTGTTAGTGTCTCAAGACGGTCCCTCTCTTCCATCCCTGAAAAGTTTACATTCCAGGAAAAATATCTAGGTGGGAATAAAAATACATTGGCTGCATATTTTCTGAAAATACTATTTTTCATTACTTTCAGGGAGGGCAATAGTTTTGAAAATATGTGTTTTAGGAAACAATTCAAGACAATATAATGACTTGGGCTGATGAACTGAACTTCCATGTGGAGGTAAAGGTATTGTAGCGTGTCCAGTATCAAATGGGAAATCAGTGCAGCCGAGATCAGTGTGACCAGCTATCCATATGAGACCTGCTAATTTTTGTTCCTTAGCTCAAATCAAATAGTATTTACTTTGTTTACCCTGCAGAGCTTTTCCATTTGATGGAAGAATGGTTGACTTTTTTCCCCATTCACCTTTAAACTCGTTGTCACAGTTGAGCTTGAATATTCTTTTGATACTCTTGCCTGCTTTGATGAGATTTTTATGTTAATATTATAAATTGGCAACAGCCAGTCATTAGGGATCAGTACTATTGATTTATCCTCTTAAAAAGTTTTGATTATATCAGTTTGGCTCTGTAAAGCAACCAAAATGTGCCTGAATCCATATTCTTACAGAAAGGGTAGCACCTGAGGTAATAATGACCAACGTAAATGATTACATCTTGCTACTACTGCAGGTATTAGTATCCCGGCTTTCTGACTAGTGTAGAAACTTTCTGTGTTTCTAAAGACTCCGTGTCTTACTCTAACTTTTGCTACTAACCTTTTCAGATTTAAACAACCAAGAGAACCATGTATTTGCTTGAATACAGATACCCATGCAGGGTTTTGCAGTCATTGGAGACCCTTTTCTTCTGTTTTACTCAAGTCTATATGAACTCTTATTTTCTAATTAAGTTCAGTTTGAGTTCTGTACATGAATCTCTGTTGCATATTGCAGACAATGCAAACGCACTGTTGTTGCCTTGCCATTGTCTTGCCTCCTCAGGCTTGGTGTTCTGGTATCATCAGCATTAGTGGTTTGTCTGTTTTGATGGGTGTCATGGGTGTTCATCCTGGTAAGGGCTTCCAAGTGCATTAAGAAACACATATTAATAACCTCCTGGGCAAGAAAGCAAAAAACAAGTAGACAATTTTATCTGTAAGGCCAACACCGGTAATTTCAATAACACTAACTCAAATATGGGGTGGCTACATGAATTGCTCTGCGCTGTTTATTACGACTTCACAATTGTTCTTACTTGGGAGGCTATATATAAGATACAACTAATCCCTGGCAACTAGAAAATAAAGTTTAAATACTGTTTTCTTTTTAAAACTGGCTGAAATACAGCCAGCCTTTAAAAGGACTGGAGGAGAACTAAACACTGTCCTGAAAAAACTCTGCTCCCCTAGAACTAGTGGTTGTAATGTGTTTTGTTGCCTGCTATTCACTTTGCTGTTGGCGGTTCTCAGCATTTTGACCTAAATAAAATCATTTTTCTGGTGCAATCTACTATAGACCTCTTCCTTCAGTTCCAGTACTGATTATCTTGCCTATTTCACTTATAAACCCTTTTTATTCTTTATTTTTGCCTTTTGCTGAAATAAAAGCCAAAAATGCTTTCAGCAACATTTTTTTTTGAGTTCATAACTGAACATGATGTGCTGTGATTGTTTTCAATTACAGTCATTCTTCAGGATTTTCTGAAGAGGAAATACTTTTGAACAGTACAATCTATTGTCATTTCTCCTGAGTCAACTCAGTTGAAAACTCTTAAATGGGAGGAAAGAAGAGAGAGGATTGTAAAGTGTTATTGATCACCCATATCTTTATATCTCTGCTGTTAGGTAAGAGTGCCATGAGGCCATAGTTCCACAGTGAACCCGCAAATGCCTGTGCCTTTGCCTATGTAGAATCAGTTGAAGTAAAAAATGCAAGGTTTCATACTAGATATACCAAGTGCTGGACTGGATCCAAAATTATATGGAACAAGATCAAACTAACAGAATTCTAGGAAGTGACTTACTCAGAACCTCCAATTTTAATGACTGTTTCCAAGCTAAGCTGAAGCCCTGCATCTCGGTGAAGTCCATATAGATGGAAAAAGGGCATATCTAGATTCTCAAGCAAGAGCTTGTTCGCATGATAGAAGACAATAAAATTTGGGGCTGGTTTTGATGTGGAGAAACAGTCTTTGGAGCTCTAGGAAAAAAACGTTTTCTGATAGTTCTGAGGGGTATAGATTACATAGTATTTGCTTAAAAAGTATTTATTGCCTGCTTAATACTACAAGTTTAGGGGAATTTTATAAGAATTCCTGATTTTTAGTAAGCTACTATAAACCAGATTGTGTGTGGCAATATTATTTGCACAATAACATAATATCTGTGGGACATGTAAGATGGAATTAGCATTTTGCAAATACTGCTGCTTAGCTTTCCTGGCAGTTGGTAGTTTCTTGATAGTTTCTATGGTTTTAGTTGTGCTGAAAGTTGTTTGAGAGTATGCGCACAAAAGGATCACATCCTTTAGTGTATTATGTACCTCTTGGTGCGTTACCCCATTGTTGCTGTGGGAAAAAAAGGTTAATGTTATTTCACTGTTTCTTATAGCTTAACTGAGTTTAGCTTCCTGAGGAATGCAATAGATGCAGATTGTCAGATGGTGTAAGAAGTCAAAATATCTATAAATCCCTTCACCTATCACCATTTAATGAGTTATATATTGCACTTTATGTAGGCATTTCAAGCTTGATTTCATTTATGACAAGCTATTATGATATATGTGTTGAACATGAGATTTTATGCTATCAGAAAACGATGAAAACTAAATAAGTTTATAAAAATGATTATGCTTTTTTCTGTCTTTGATCCATTTAAATGCAGATTGAAGTCCTATGTTTGCAGTTCTTACACCGATTGCCTTGAGAACGTTTTATGACTGGTTTCACATGTACAACGCCCAGGATTTCAGCCAGCGTGAGTTGTGTGTTGCTCAGAACAGTCTGATGTCCAGCTGAACTAATTCCGGCTTCTTCACGTGTTACGTGTCACAATGCCAACATAGATCAAGCATTTATAAATCATGTTTTGTTGCATATGAGTAAACTAAAGGGAGGGTGACAGATGTGAGTCTGTTCTTTATAACTTATGAATGCAGTATTTATGTACCGCATATTGGGATATTTACCTGTTAAATCAGTGGGGTTGCTAGGACATAGGCAATAAGGCAAAATAATGGCCTCACACAATTTGTCACGGGGAAAACATTTTGGTATGGCTAGGAGACAATACTGACCTACTAGTTGGGACGACTCTAGCTCAATGAAGTTATGAAACTTGTTTTTTCCTACAGGTCTGGGAGTTAATGGATTAAAGGAATTAAAGATAGTTTAAAAGACTGTCTAGAAGGGAGGCAGCTGTATTGGGTAGCTATTTGTGGGAGTAGATCCCTGACAAGTTGTGTGAGGAAGTTAAGCCTCCTTGGATTTCACTAGAAGATGCTAACTTCAAGGTAAGAGATGTATGACTGATATTAATTTAAAATCTTTTTTTCCTGTTGTTCATTGCTCAGGTTCTTAACATAATGTCTCTGATCACCACACTGAAAACTGGTTACAAATTTACATACACGTATATATATTTTTAGCCCCAAACAACATGGTACAGGGGAGATAGATTAATCTGTAAAATGGAAGTTGATACTTTTTTGAATGCTTTTTGACATCTATGCTATCCACTTGCCATGTTTAAAGACCTAAAATTAGGTCCCAGTTCTGAATATTTCTGGCCACTCTGAGCAGTGCTTTGTCAAATATGACTTGCAGAGTTTCCATGAAATAAGTTGAATCGTTTGTACTGGTGAGTAGCTTTCTGTTTTAAAGTCTTTTCTATTATTGTAAACGTGTGAGAATGTAGATTCACTCCCTCAGCACTTCCCAAGCTGCCATTTTGTATCATGGCAAGTGGGTGTCTGTGCAGAAATAGTAATGCTTTGGGATTATTTTAGGTATTTTAACTATAAATATATTTCAAGTAAAATTTCATCTGAATTGTGTGATGAATGCTCTTCAGTAAATAAGTGTGCCTATTATACAAACCAAAAAAAAATTAACACAAAATTTAACTGCACAGGAAACCTTTGAAAAAGCCTATGTAGGTTATCTGTGCATGGGAAATGTAATTTAAAAAAATGAAGCTCTGAAAAGCATCTTTGTATCAACGTTTTCTTATAGAGTTACATTTAATAGCAAAGAGCTTTTTTTTTTAATGTGTAATAAAATATTTGCAGATTTTTGGACTCTTTTCTAGTAGTAATTGAGTTTAGTTCACAAAAGTGTGTGTGTATATACATATATATACAAGCAGACATATATATACATATATTTACACACATATGCATACATACACGGACATATATTTAAAAGTATATATACATATATATTTATTTGTCTTATGCTACAGAGGTCCAGGAATCAATAGTTACAGGAGTTAGCGAATAAGTTTCACATGCAAATAATAGCATTTCAGTGATAAGTGGTTCGGTTGCCAGTATAAAAATAGACACTTCCTGATACCTTTGTACCATGTCATTTATTATTTTACATTAGCATCTGTGAAGTGTTATTTAATGCTCTTCAGCATTGTATATATGGCTAAGTGGCACAATGAGCCAGAACAGACCGACAGACCTTGCTGTCCTTTCAGCTGAAAAGCCAATGCTTGATGCAGTATGCCTGAAAGAAGCAATCAGATTTACAGAACAGCACAACACACTAACTTTTACTGCCTGTCCCCAAATCATAATACTAAATTATGTGTTAAAAGGATATTAGGAGCACAGTCTTTGAAAAAATCCAGCTTGCATCCAGTTTGAATTAGCATATAGATGAGTTGAAGTCTCAGATGAAGCACAGCCGAGATGAGTTTTCTAGCGTTATGCTGCCTTGTAAGTTAGCTCCGTCAAAATACAGCTTTGTGAATAGAGCCTCACGCTCACATATTTTTGAGGTGCCGCAAGGAAGTGAGAAAAATGTAGCTGCCGACAAAAGGGATGGCAATGACCTGTCTCTATTTCCTTACATCCTATACCTTATCAAAACAGGCGTGCTATATGTGTACACAGCTCAGCATCAAGCAGAATCCCTTCCAAGTAAGGCAAATCGATAACCTTAGCTTGCTTTTACTGCCACATGGAACAGCGTTTTACCATTCCTAACATATTAGGTACAATGCAGGTTTTGAAAACTTTGGTAGAACTGTAAGTTCGTGTTAGTTACATGTCTTCCATATGTTCCCCTAGAACATAATTCTGTACACCAGGGCCTGGATATTACCTGGCAAATATTGTAAAAACCTCTTCAAATTAAATGTAGATAAAACATTAACAGTTATTTATGTAATGGTAATTTTATAGTTGTAGAATAAACAAATAGTACTTTTTGGAATTAGTGGGCTCAAATTGTTGACAGAGCCCAGAAATGGCGTTGTCAGGCAAAACGTAGTGGATTGTTCACTGCATAGTGTAAGCCTAATTTGTACCTGGCAAAGCAGTTAACCAATGATACGTCATCCATTTGCTTTGTTGCAGTGGACTGTTTTCACTAGTCAGTCTTGATTATACAATTTGAGGAGCAGCGTGGGAGAAATATGCATATCTGTATGAACGATTGACATACATAGTACTAAAACCCATGGGGCCGAGAGGGAGTCCTCTCCAGTGAAACTGGGATCGGCGCAAAGGTAAGAATTTGTACTCAGATAAAGCACTTTTTTCCAATGTATTCTGCAGCTACGAAGAACAGGAGTACTTCATCTTTGCATTCCAGTGTGAGCCCTCTTCACGTATAGAAAAGGGGATGTCTTGGAAAGGCCTTCTCCTACCTAGGTGATATGTGTTCTCTTTCAGGCCAGCTATAATCAAGAAGATAAGGACTTTTCTCTGCACCAAATATTAAAGCAAATACCTGGGTACTATCCGGAAAAGAGATATAAGATAGGAATCATTATTTTTCTGAATACTTGAGGCAAGCATAAAGCTTTTATTAGGAGCTTCGCATCATCACAGTAAGAGATAGAAAAGAATTATTAGGTTATGGATGTCAGTGTAATGAATTATTAACATCAAGTAGTTTATAGAAGTTAATGTGTACTTATATTTTAAGTTCTCGTCTTTGATGATGTGGTAAACTAAAAGGTAGCTTTGCCGATTCAAGACTAATCGATGCCTAAGGGATCTGTTAAAGTCTTAGTGCAGACCATTAGGGTTGTTTGCAAGAGTCCTATTGAAGTCAGAACACAGTCTGTCTGTTGGTAGTGGGAGAACCTATTTACTTGCATTTACTTTACTTGAAGTTTACACAAGGGAAGTAAATAAGACTTTAAAGCTATCATTGCTTCTCATTCCTCATCCTCACAACACGTATTACCAGATCAAGCCAGAACTGTGCTCTTTACTTTTCCTTCTTGCTGAAAAGCAACAAACCAAAAGCACTGAAAAATTCAGTATTTTCCTTGTGTGTTTATTCAGTTATTAATATATTTATCACACTGTTCATCCAGGATTACAAACAGGCTAACAATGGATTTGCATTCATGAAGCTACATTCTAATTCCTTTTTTTCCATGAGCAGTCCAAATAACTCAAAAAAGATGACTTTCCCACATAAAATTTATAACAATTTCAAGCCTAATTAAAAGCCTACATCTTTTCTCTATATCATATTGCCAGTCTTGTAAGTAGCAAAGTACTGGGACATTTTGTTGTGCTTCATTTTGTGTGTGTGTGAGACCATTGGGGAGGACCCCAAATACGACTTTGTCTGACACCGTTTATTGCTAATCCAGTTTCAAGGGGGCAGCCTTTGTCGCCTTTCAGGCACTCACGAATGTCTATCAAGGGAGAAAGGATTTCTGGAGGGGAACTCCCCATGGCAAAATTAGAGAGGAAAACGTTCTGTTTTGTAAATCATAGATCAATATTGATAGAGCGAGAATAAAAGAGACTCCTGAAGTTCTTATATTCTGTTGTGTTTTTAAAAGTACAGTAAACTTGGTTGGTTCTTCATCTTTGAAGGTATTTAAGTGGATAACAAGCAGGTCAGAGCAATATATTTCACTCATTTGAAGAATAAACTTACTTTGACATGCTGTGGTGCAACTTTAAGTTGAACTGGAAGCTGAGAAGAGAGGTGTTTATCCATGCAAATGTTGACAAGGAGCAAATCTGTTTTGTATACTCTTTTGAGAATGAAAAATCTTTAAAGAGTTTCTGGAAGTTTCAGTCATTTTTCGTTATCGTCTATGTAGAAAATCCATCTCTGACTAAATAAATGCTCTTAAAATTATTGGGATGGGGTGAGAAAAGTAGGGAAAATGAGCAGAAGTTTATGTTAATTGCGTTGCGGGGGCGGGAGGGGATGAGATGCTAGTCTGACCAGTGCTCTAGACATTCTGTACTGACATATTTTATCTGCTGAATTTTAGTAGGCAGCTTTGTGTACACTTTTCCATATATAGCTTGCCCTGTAGATATAAGAAGGTGTTTGTTCCAAAAGAAACAATAGCAACCAGAAGTGGAAATTACTGTCAGCTCATCAGATGCAATTGAATAATAATGAAAGCTAACGCAAGATAACACTCAAGGTTATTTTTAAATCTTTGTAAAGGTCAATGTATTCAGTGGTATTCAATTCCAACTGCTAAAAGAGTTGCTCTGTTTAAATACAATGCCCCTGTTGTTTAGGGAATAAGAGCTCTATACTAGGAAGGGTAAACAGGACAATGACTTATCTATATCTTCTCTTTGCAGAATTTAGGAAAATATCATCAGACGTATCAGCCGCTGGTGTTTACCTTCAGTCTCAGGAATTTGTGTCCTTCTCCCTTCATCTCAAGTTGCTAAGTTTGTTTCCAGAGAAAGAGCAAGCTGCCTGCCTTGTGGACCTTTTCTACCCTGAGCAGCCACAGAAAGGAAAAGCTGTCTCATAGCCCAGACTGGTCTAATCTCTGAAAGTTCTGGAGATGTCATTAAGTTAATCATTTAACCACTGTAAAAATGTTGCTGTGTAAATGTTATAATGTTTATGATCTTTCGTAGTCATGACTTCTGTCCTTGCTGCGTTGAAAAATGTTTGAAAAATTGAAAAATGTTTTTACATGAAGGCTTTTATGTCTTTCTAATGTACACAGGCAAAGCAGTTTAATACAATAATGTCTAAAGATAACTTTGCATAAATATTTAGGTACCAGACTTGCTTTTTCCCATGGGAAATAGGCATGTGAATGCCTTTGAAGATCTTGACCTTACGATCATCTAAGAAGGTCTAGGCATTGTACAAACTTACAATAAGAGACAGTTACTGCTTTCTACTGTTTGAATAAACCAGCTGGATAAAGGTTAGTGGCAAGAAAGAGAACGTTCAAGGAGAGCAACAGCTGTATGGCAATAGTCATATTAGGTCTGTAATTTTTTTTTTCCAGTCTTTTCAGTAGAGTTACCTTAAAAGATCAGGAAAGATCAGGATTCCTTTCCTTAAAAGAAGGAAAAGAGAAACTAAAGAAAGAGGGTTTAGAAAGAATTGGCAGAAATAACCGGGCAGCACAGAGTCCATTAAGAGTACAGTTTTACTTTAGTGATGTCTGTTATGCATGCATTTGTGTTTTGTTGTGCCTTGCTCTGATTTGTCTGGTTTTGGTGAAGAAGACAATTTTGATTTCTTGGATATGCCAGATGTTATATGTCTTTTTATTTCTAGATCGAGACAATCAGACAGGAAATGAATGAGTAGGAGGTTTTTGCATTAAAATTTGAATGAGATATTCAGAAATTAAGTTGGCAAACATACAGAAATTATGCAAATGTAAAAAATTATAAATATATTTTGTATATACATGCCTGTGTATATGTATATATGTATACATATATGAAAATCATGGATCAGATAGCATTAATCATGAAGCATACTCTTCCTTTGCTTTTTCCTCCTTGTGAAATAGTTCAATAATGCAATAAGTGTGATATGTAATATTGCTAAACAGTATTTTCTTCTTCTGTGAAAGAGATGCATCTCTGGAGCATTTGTCTGACCAGGCCTCAATTCTCTGCTGCTCAGTTTAGGCCAATGCATGTCACACAGCTAAAACTCTTCATGTAGTTTAGGAAAGTTTGGTGCTTGATTAACTTACTGGGAAGCATGTGCAATTTAAAAAAACAAAAGTCAAATTCTTTTAAATATCAAACTAAGTTATCAAATATGTCATTGGTGATTGGTTGGCAAATTGGAAAATTGATTTTGTAATTTACTGAAAGAGGTAGTAGTGTTCATTCACTTGTGTTTTCTATCATCAGTTGTCCTCGAAACATAGGTAGAATCCGATGTGATAAGTGCTCTGCCAGGAATGGCTATTTTATTACGGAGCTCCAACTTCAAATAGGAATGGTGTACCTCAGGAGATTCAAAAGAAAAAGAAAGCATCTTTTTCTACTCTAGGCAGAACAATTAAACTCTCTCCTTTGTGCTATTGCAGAGTGAAAATTGTGCAATACATTACAAAGTAAATAAGCACCAAGTGATGTTTTTGTTTTGGGTCTACTGGTACATAAGAGGGAGAAATTCGAGTTCATATAAATATACAAAGACGCAGGGAATTGAAGTCAGAGGCAGTGCAAGCTGCACACCAGTGGCAATGTTAACAGGAGTCATGCAAGTAAGTTGTGAAAATGGCAGTGAGGTAAGCTAGAAAATCACATACAAGAGAGGAGTGACAGCATTGGGCTTTGACATTGTAGTACGGAATGAAGAGATTAAAGCACTAAAATCTCTACTGTGGGGAGAAAAAGGGCGTGATCCAGAAGCAAGAAGGATTCCGAATAGAGGGTAATCATATTACTAAGCTTAGACACAGTAAACTTGTTTTGCAGTGGGGGGCCATACTACAGAGTCTTTTGTTTGCAGTTAAAATCAGCTTTTCTGGCAGTTCCCCTGTCCTTTGGAAAAGGGGCTCAAGACTGATAGAAAGTGAAGATTTTCAAAAGCAGTGGAGAAAGTGCCATCCTCTGGCTCATCTCTGCTGGAAAGTCTCTGGGAGGTCTTAAATCATAGTGTAATCATGCTGTCTTGAAGGTATGCAAATAATTGAATAATATTCTCTGCAAGTCCTTTTAAGGACTATTGAACAGAGTTAATTTACACATGGGATCAAAATATGCTTATTTGCCTTCAGAATTCTTGGCATTGATGCATTTGGGTATTCACTTTTGCAGTTTTGCTTACTTCTGTCTCTTTAAAGCCCAGGTACCTGGAGACCACTAAACTAATCATGGAAATTGCTGAATAGCTTTTCTTTTCCCATCTGTGCTTGAATCTCTGCTGCTTTGTTTTCCCTTTTGTGTTTGTTTAAGCTTCTACATTTTGCATTAGATTAAATGGATTTATAAGAGCAGCCCTTTGCAATTTAGTTGGTATTTGGAAGGATTCCTTTATTTTCAGAGGAGACTCAAGAAGCATAGTCAAAGGAGCTGATCGGGCTGAGAGATCTGCATTAGAAATAAAACTGTCAGGAGCAGGATCTGATTATCATCCTAGTCAATTCAACAAGTTCTAGATCAGCCTTCAAATGAGAAGTTGAGACAATATGTTTATGAAAAATGTCCCCTCAAACCAACTCTTTGCATCTTTTGCAAAGACGCTACACCAAAAAACTGAGTCCAGCATGGACATAGCTATGCCAACAAAGGTGAGTTGTTCAACAGTATATTAAAATTCTACCCATAAACCAAGGAAACTGGTAATGAATGAAAATGCAGCTTTGCTGGTTATATTTGTATCCTGCAGCAGGGCTGCACAGCTGCGTAACTTGTATGAATGAGCTACATCAGATATAGTGCCTATTCTACCACAAACCCTTTGTGGTAGAAACCAAGGTTTTTAAACTGTGTTTTTATCATTGCTGTCAGATACTGGAACTTCAAATTAATAGGTACATAGCAATAGTGCACAGATATCAGAGCTGCCTTTGCCCTAGGAGACTTAAACTGATGGTTATGGAGTTAAACTGATGGTCATGCATGGTAACTAACGGAGGTAGGGATGGTGGGAACGCCACCTTTAGCCACATGGTGTTCCGTGCAGAAATGGAGACAAGAGTGCTACAGGTTGTTTTAAAGCTGGTGTGATTCTGCTGGTTGCAACAGAATGATTATCACCAATTAACTCCGGTCTAAGGAGAATTTGGCACAGCATTTTTTACATATTTCTCTGTAGGTTTCTGGGCATTCTTCCTATTATCAAGTATAGCAGTGTGAAAGAACAGCATAAAGTCCCTAGAACTTAGTAGTAAAGAGAATGTATTTACAACATGTCTCTGAACATCACTGCATGGATGATGGAGCACTTTTAAAAGAGTATCTGTGAAGGAAATAAACCCATTAATTGAACAGAATTATCGTGCACCAAAGCTACATATTTGAGAGGTCTCCACAGTATTCAAATAATTATTGAACCATTTGGCACATCCCTAATAAAAACCTTTATCCATTAGCCCCATTGGTGCATGCTTAGGCAAATTAACTCTTCTATGTGTAGAGCTAAAGAAAATGGCATGTTATAATTAAATGATTCTTTTGGGGGCAGTAAACCTCTCTTCAAACAGCTTGAATATTAGTGCAGTCGTTTTTCTTTCAGCCCTACTAATCACAGCAAATTTAGCTTGCACAGCTAGAGTCAGGGTGCATGTTACAGGACACTTTGGCAATGGTAATGAACAAATCCCACAAGTACTGGTTTATAAAAGGTTTTTATCTGAAGCTAATGTGAGTTTATCTGGACTCTTGCTGTTCATGAAATCAGGTTGTTGTTTTAAGATGTCTGATACTTAAAGATATGTTTACATCAGAGCCTAACTGATAGAAACCTGCCATGTTACTGACTTTGAGTTTGACTGGGAGGTCTTGAGAATATATGGAGGTTATGTTCATTGCATTTGAAAAAAAGAAGTCTTTTTTTTCTCCCCAATTTCTAAATCATTTGAAATTTATTAGATTTACTCAGATTCTGAGCATTCCTTCTGTTGGTTGGAAAAAGATGTTCAGATCCTGCATCATAATGGAACAAATGCGTGGATTCCTGAAGAATATTTAGGCCAAGACTTTCTGAAGTGACTACTGATACCTAGGAGCTGATACTTTGAAATGTGCCTGATTTACTGAGAGTGATGAATACCTATTTTCTGAAAAGTGGGCTCTACAGACCTAATCCTTTCTGACTTTTAGTTGTAAAACTAAATGTACCACACTTAAATGGCATAGCCTCCTGAGACTTCACAAAGCTACTCCCCAAAAAAACAAATTAAGTGTTAAGAGCTTAGATTTTTCATCTAGTGCATAGAAGGTAGTCTTTATATTATTATCAACTTTAGCCTTGGATTTTCACAGATATTTGCTGCAATTAGCAGGATGAAAAATTTATATATACTGCCTCTTCTTCACTATGTTGCGTCTTCCACTGTTAATTATCGGGTGTATTCCTACAGAGTGGGGTAGACAATCAATTTCCAGTGGTTCCCATGCAGTCATCCTGATGGCTGCACCTAGCAGCAGTCCGCTGTTGGGATCTACATCGTGTTATTGACCATGAGGATCTGCCAATACCAGTTCTTTTGGAAAAGAGAGCTTACAGGTACCGCAAATGCTTTGGTTTGCCAGGAGACCCATCTGTGCCTGCCCTGCACTGTTACATTCCTCAAGGGAACGGAGGGCTCCCCCATGAGCCAGTGTCATCGCCCAAAGAAGCTTCCTTTTCCCTGGACTTTCTCAACTATCTGATGAGCATCCTGGGGCTTTCAGCTATGTAATGACTTCAGCATTTGGCATCTGAGGTCAGGAAGGTTGCCTCTCTCTGAAGTAGAATTGTTTGAATAGGTCTTCTGATGGTCTGGAGCACCAGTAAGATTAGGAGGAAGGTGTGTTTAAAACACCCACTGAGGATGGACATCACAGTTTTGACTGCATGCAAAGTATGCAAAATGAATTGTTGCTGTAGATTGTAAACTACTGT